ATCTGGCCAGGAGTGACCTGGGGATCTGGTCAGGAGTGACCAGGGGATCTGGCCAGGAGTGACCAGGGGATCTGGCCAGGAGTGACCAGGGGATCTGACGGATACTTGACTCTCGGAGGAAAGGCAGGACGGACATTTAATTAAACTGCTCTGGGACCATTTATTTTGGAACTCTGTACTTGCTACTGAAGATGGGGACGGGACACTTATGGGAATGTGTCGGTCCTTGAATCAGTCCGATCCAACTCACTGACAAGTTTTTAGATATATAAATGTCGTGGTCTGTAGCTGTGTTATTTCGGTGCCTGACGTCAGGTAGAGTGTAGACAGTGGGTTGCGTGGGCTTGTGGGTAGAGGACTGATACAGGTGTGTTCTTCTTACAGCGGCAGTCAGCCCTTTAATCGGTGCGTTTCTTGGTAGCACTCAAGTGGCGGTTGTAGATTTCGCTTGTCTCCTCCAAGCTGCTACCATTCTTACGTGGCACACCAATTGAGCAACTCCCATTTGCACCCCACCCCTAAATCCTACCTCATTATTTGTTTGTAGTGGTTTGAGGAGGAAGAGGGGGGGGGGGGGTGCTAAGCTGCCCACTTCAAATCATATTTAGAAGATATCTTTTTACGGATTTTGATAAACCATATCATGTCACTTGACATGTTTTTATATTTGTATGCCATTAACAATTTATTTTTACTACTTAATTTTTGTTATGGACTAGAAGATGGCTACTTTATCAAGCTGAAGAATTATATACTGTACTAGGATACAGAAAGAGTGAGAAAAACTAACGCACTTTATATCACATGTTGTCAATAGTATAAAGTGAAGGGGGGTGCTGCAGTTACACAGTGCCAATGCACGTGTCGTCACTGTACTGTTCTTTTCCACCTGTCAGCTTGATAGCTTCTCTAAATGCTTCGCTGAGCTTAGGTAAATAAATCATTATAAGTTTGTATATTTATTATTTAAATGGCAATTTCTTTCCCTTAACTATAAAAACCATTTACTAGCTTTCTATCAGGAGTAGAGATAGGAACCTCTACAGCATTCTACAGAGTACTGCCGTTGTCATGGGACAAGTACTGCCGTTGTCATGGGACAAGTATTGTATTTGACTGATATGCGTTTGCTCACGTTCCTTGCCAGTGACTCACCGAAATTGGTTTTTTTTTTAATTATTGTCATCAGTTTCCCAGAGTAGGCGAAATTTTCTCCTGGAGGACGTGGACCATTTTTGAGAAGAAGAAAAAAGGGGGAAAAGGGGGGGGGGGGGGGGGGGGGGGTAAAAATGTTAGCCAGAACTGCAAATAAATGATAGAAAGAGGCGTTGGACTGATCGAGGTGGGTGTTAGTGGCCTCGGGTGCAACTGGATGCATCGTATAAAAATAAACATGCAGTTAGTTAGTTAGTTAGTTAGTTAGTTAGTTAGTTAGTTAGTTAGTTAGTTAGTTAGTTAGTTGGGTTATCCTCATTGCACTCCGGACATGTCCATAGGTGCTCAGATCCTCCCCTCAGTATGAACCCCAACGTCCGATGGCTAATAGTACCAGTTCTATGTTGATTAACAAGTCTTCTGGCGTGTCTGGTGTGCGTCTCGTTTTTTTGCTGTGCCGATCTTAATTCCCAAGTCTGCCATTCTGGCGAGTGATGTGGATTCACTGCCACCAAAGTCCTCCATCCTTCCCATTTCTCTGAGGGCATTGATAATATCAGCATGATCCATAGGCTGACCGTCGGTAGTGATAGCGGATCCAGCCAACCTGTCAGCTCTTTCATTTCCATCGACGCCTGCGTGTCCCGGAACAAAAATGAAACATGCAGTGCTTGGCATTAAGTGGTAGGATACGATCACAATCACCGACATATTGGACAGAACGTCTCCTCAGTCTTCGTAATGCTCACTTTACGAAGGCTCAGACTGGCTGGGTCACACTTGGAGGCTACCTTTGCTTCCCAGGACTGCACCTGGTACCCATTCAAGGCTGGGTCGACCTGGTCGACCCCCTTAAGAATGAATGACTGGTCTACTGGAGGATCATCTGTGATCCCGCGCTAGCTTAGCAGCTAAACGCTCGTCAGCGTTAATAATAACTGTATAACACAGGTTGCCTCAGACTTGAAACGGTACAAGTGAAAAGTCATGGAAAGAGAAAAGTGTAAATTTGACTACGCCACTCATCGAGTGCCCACTGGTCATAAAAAAAATTTGAATCTAGTTGAATCTAGCACCATTTGCCCGATGCAGCACTAGAGCGAGTAGAGTCCTGAACTGGCTAGTACTGTCTGCCACTGTCACTACCCATGATGCAGCACCGGAGATAGTAGGGTCTTGTACTGACTAGTACTGTCTGCCACTGTCACTACCCATGATGCAGCACCGGAGAGAGTAGAGCCCTGTACTGGCTAGTACTGTCTGCCACTGTCACTACCCATGATGCAGCACCGGAGAGAGTAGAGTCTTGTACTGACTAGTACTGTCTGCCACTGCAACTACCCATGATGCAGCACCGGAGCCAGTAGTGTCTTGTACTGACTAGTACTGTCTGCCACTGTCACTACCCATGATGCAGCACCGGAGAGTGTAGAGTCCTGTACTGACTAGTATTGTCTGCCACTGTCACTACCCATGATGCAGCACCGGAGAGAGTAGAGTCCTGTACTGACTAGTATTGTCTGCCACTGTCACTATCCGTGTCAACGGCAGTCTACACCAACAAATGCATAATTCCACCGCCTTCAGGTTCTTCCCCTGCCAATCCCCTGTGTCCCATACTCGTTTTCAAAAGTAATTACTTGATAGAATGTCAAAACTGGGGTGACACAAACAAGTATTTATGTCGTGAAATGGCGCTGCGACAGTGCGCTGACATTTGCAACAGATACGAGTCAAAGGTTATTGGATCAGACCATCAGTGGAATGTCTGGCGCTGTAACCCCAATCTCAAACCCCTGTACAGAGTTCACGGTGGTAAATTGTTACATGAAAGGAGGGTTGGGTTTCTGGAGGTCTGGGAGGAGGCCGGAAACTCGTCGGGCAACTCAGGCTGTGGCACAATGGTCTCATGTACCGATGTTTGTCACGTTGTTTGTATGATCTGAAAGAGTGCTGTTCTCCCATCTTCCATCTGTGTTGCCGCTAGCATTATCTTTAATCTTTTTTCCCCCCTCTATATTAATTTTACATTTGCTTTTATAAGTGTTACATCTTTTAACGGGAGTCGCCGTGGCGTAGCGGCTAGACGCTGGCCTGATGATCGGAAGGTCGTGGGTTCAATTCCAACACGGCCGCAAATGACCTTGGCTCCCAGGTCGACACAGCCTTGAGTGGGAATCAAGTGCAGTCCTGGGAAGCAAAAACTGCCGGCGTGATGCTGGCCACATCACCCATCATGTGCTGATTTGTCTACAAAAATATAGGTCTAGCCCTATATGCCCAAAAAAGCCGAAAGGCGTGGAAAAGGGTCCTTTACTTACCGTTTAACTTACATCTTTTAAAGTAGCCGAAATACGTCTTACTTCAGTCAGCTTTTTTTTTGTTCACTAGCAGATTTTTAAAGACTTCTTTTAATAATTGTTTTCATTGAAAACGCCACTTAGTCTTCCGTTGACTCGGATGTCTGGATACTCACCCAGTTCTGACTCCAACCGTTTCCAGCCACACACTTTTTATGTCAAAGGTCCGCATTGTGCATGTACACTACTTCATCCATGATGGTAAACCCTTGACACAAACACACGCGCAGGTTGCATTGATTTCACAGACCACGCCTTGTATGGGGACCCATGTGGGAGTCAGCGCTCCGAGACCACAGCCACTTACAGGTGACCAGGGTTGTACAGTGACTAGCTCATTTACAGGTGACCAGGGTTGTACAGTGACTAGCTCACTTACAGGTGACCAGGGTTGTACAGTGACTAGCTCACTTACATGTGACCAGGGTTGTACAGTGACTAGCTCACTTACAGGTGACCAGGGTTGTACAGTGACTAGCTCACTTACAGGTGACCAGGGTTGTACAGTGACTAGCTCACTTACATGTGACCAGGGTTGTACAGTGACTAGCTCACTTACATGTGACCCGGGTTGTACAGTGACTAGCTCACTTACATGTGACCCGGGTTGTACAGTGACTAGCTCACTTACATGTGACCAGGGTTGTACAGTGACTAGCTCACTTACATGTGACCCGGGTTGTACAGTGACTAGCTCACTTACATGTGACCAGGGTTGTACAGTGACTAGCTCACTTACAGGTGACCAGGGTTGTACAGTGACTAGCTCACTTACATGTGACCAGGGTTGTACAGTGACTAGCTCACTTACATGTGACCCGGGTTGTACAGTGACTAGCTCACTTACATGTGACCAGGGTTGTACAGTGACTAGCTCACTTACAGGTGACCAGGGTTGTACAGTGACTAGCTCACTTACAGGTGACCAGGGTTGTACAGTGACTAGCTCACTTACAGGTGACCAGGGTTGTACAGTGACTAGCTCACTTACAAGTGACCAGGGTTGTACAGTGACTAGCTCACTTACATGTGACCAGGGTTGTACAGTGACTAGCTCACTTACATGTGACCAGGGTTGTACAGTGACTAGCTCACTTACATGTGACCAGGGTTGTACAGTGACTAGCTCACTTACACGTGGAAGCTCGTTCTTCACATATCACGGCTGCTGTGGCAAACGTTACCAGGACCATTGTAAAGTGTTTTAATGAGTAGATTAGTTTTGTCTGCAACATTTTCCTAAATAACTTTTCGTTTATTCTATCACTCTTTCTTCTGTAAGTACACGCCATATGGGCTATGATAGTGTCTGTATGTTCAATCTACGATGTCTTTATTCATTTCACATTTGGTCTGCGTTTACAGATAAATCTTGCTGGATATTTTAGAAATGTAATGTGTCAATGCTTACTATTTTATTTTTAGTGTCGTTTTGGGACCGTGTTGTGAAATCTCCCTGGAGTTACTGAGTTCCTCAGACCAAGCATGGACATTATCAAGTCATCCCCCGGAAGTCGACTTCTGAAAAAGATCAACTCAAAATCTTCTCGGACACGCCCTTTCAAAGTGGCCATCCTGGGTCAAAATGGAGTGGGCAAAACTGGTAGGTTGATTATTTTAATTTAAGACTTATTTACTACTAAGAATGTCGGCATTAATTGATGGCTTTTAATGATATTAATGATAGTGGAAATGAAGGCGCATTCATTCACATTTGGCAGAGAACTAATAACAAATGTCAGTGAATCAACTAAGGAGAAAAAGAAATTGATGTTGGAAAGAACACATACCAAGAAAGCCTGCTAACAATATAACTTGAATATCCTTGTGCTTGAACTCGCAGGGTAAAAAAAAAAAAAAAAAGAATGACAGACATACTGAAGACAGAAGGATTCGGCCTGAGTTAACTGAGACCTCTTGTTTCATTGATGGAGAAAGGGCAAACGGAGAAAATGAAACATTAGAGAGAGTGGAAATAAAGACAGCATTCATTTTTAGTTGAAAATTGAACTGAATTTAACACTAAATATTTTACTATATTGACCTTTTTTTTTGTGTGTGCTTTTAATGCAATCCATGTACCATAAACAATTAACGACATTTGGTAAACAAAAATTGATAATTAACGAATGAAAAAGCCCTAATATGTGAGGGCAAGTGAGTTAACAAAATGAGGGAACAAATGGGGGAGAGGAGGTTAACAAATAGTCAGTGTAACATTCTCAAACATCGCATGTCTATGGTTTGTCATTTTCTTTTTTGGGGTTTTTTTTTTCTGACTGACCAGATTTGGCACTTGTAGTATACGGTGACCCCAAAAAATGGCACCCTTTCATTAATTTATAACCTGCTCTAACGTCTACCTGGTGAACCCTAACAGGCCTGGGAAAGTCATAGTCGCACGTCGCGCCTCGATGCCTTTTCTCTCCCAGACAGTGTAATACAATCACCATCCCCTCCAGCGCCACCTGGCGTATACACTTGTCACTTCTAAATGTCATTGTTGTGTAAATGTCCTACAGTTATTTAACTGTTGTATTAAACGTCACACTTTTAGTCTTATCGTCGGAAAAGATAGCAAAGTGCTCACATCAAACAATACACACAGTGGGTCCCGAAAACTGGGCACTCAGACCAACCCCCCCCCCCCCCCCCACACCCGCCTTTTTCAACGAACAGTGTCGGGTGCCTCTACTTACTGTATAATATTTTTCAAGGACCTAAGTGCCCCTCGTTGAATGTAAGTCAGGCTTGCGTGCCCAATTTGTGACTCTTTGAAAATAAAGTTGGTTTTTTCGTTTGTTTGTACCCGAATAATGTATAGAAGTTCTGTTGTAAGAACTTGTTGACACATTCCATATCGTATCCAGTATATTACCATATATTTTGAAAATCATCACTTTATTTGTATTATCTTGTAGTTATATTATTATAAAACAAGGCTAAATTCTTTCAAGGGTCTCCAGCCCCTAAACAAATTGTGGGGTTGGGGGTCAATGCTGTCTGTATTTACCACTCTTTATGGGGTTGTAAAGGGAGAAAAGGAGAGGGGGGAGGGGGGGTCATGAGCCAAAAGATTTGGGGCCGCATGAACCTCTTTGCTGTGTGAGCACTGTGGCATAAACCTGTTCGCTGTTTGGACACTGTGACATGAACCTGTTAGATGTGTGAACATTGTGGCATGAACCTTGAGCTGTGTGAACACTGTGACATGAACCTGTTAGCTGTGTGAACACTGTGGCATGAACCTTGAGCTGTGTGAACACTGTGACATGAACCTGTTAGCTGTGTGAACACTGTGGCATGAACCTTGAGCTGTGTGAAGACGGTGGCATGAACCTTGAGCTGTGTGAACACTGTGGCATAAACCTTGAGCTGTGTGAACACTGTGGCATGAACCTTGAGCTGTGTGAAGACGGTGGCATGAACCTGTTCGCTGTTTGGACACTGTGACATGAACCTGTTAGCTGTGTGAACACTGTGGCATGAACCTTGAGCTGTGTGAACATTGTGGCATGAACTTGTTCGCTGTTTGGACACTGTGACATGAACCTGTTAGCTGTGTGAACATTGTGGCATGAACCTTGAACTGTGTGAACACTGTGGCATGAAGCTGATAGCTGTCTGAACACAGTTGCATGAAGCTGTTCGCTGTGTGAACACTGTGGCATGAACCTTGAGCTGTGTGAACACTGTGGCATGAACCTGTTAATTGTGTGAACACTGTGGCATAAACCTGTTAGCTATGTGAACACTGTGGCATGAACCTGTTCGCTGTGTGAACACTGTGGCATGAACCCTGAACTGTGTGAACACTGTGGCAAAAACCTGTTAGCTGTGTGAACACTGTGGCATGAACCTGATCGCTGTGTGAACACTGTGGCATGAACCTTGAGCTGTGTGAACACTGTGGCATAAACCTGTTAGCTGTGTGAACACAGTTGCGTGAACCGCGAGCGGTTTGAACACTGTGGCATCAGCCGTGAGCTGTGTGAAGACTGTGGGATAAAATATTCAGCTATGTGAACAGCTGTGTCCTGATCTTAAACAATCAGATAAAATCCCCATCCCGTGACCTGCATATGTTGCCACAGGTCATGGCCACACTGCTATGCATTCAATAAGGATTTATTTCATTCGTTACCTATATTAAAAATATTCATAATATTGGTACGACAGAAGTGTTTATTTATCAAATGTTCATATTGATTTACAAATTCACTTAATAGTTCCTGGACTATAGTTAAATGATATCTACTCGGATTATTGTTTACCTACTTCATCATTCTTTTCTTTAAGTTTACTAGGTTCACTGAGTGCTCTTTAGTATCAGTACTATTTATCCCGGCCTGGGGAAAGTACACACCGCACAGTTTAGCTTTAACTTCTATCTCAGCTTGTGTAAAGTAAACACTCGTAATATTGATTATATAATATTGTTTGTCCTGTAATGCAGCCGAAACGTGTGGCTTTTTTCTTTGCAATTTATTTGAGCAGCTCTGTGTTTACTCTCAACTTGTCTCCGATTTATAAATTTAGTTTGTTTTCTGGTCTTGTTATTTATATCGCACCTTGAAAATCAAAAATAAAACTAAACAAAAAAGTTCTAATCTGGATACAAATTTAGCTCATCCCTCTGAATGACACTCCATCCTTTCTCGGGGTGACAGTTAACTCAAGGATAACTTGTAAGACACATATAGAAACAATACGGGGTGGGGGAGGGTAGTGGAGTGAGGTGGGCGCTGTAACCCAGTGATGAAATAGAAACCTGACGAGTACCACATAGGATGTTAACTTCCAGAACTCTAATACAAGTGTATACTGGAGCAGTCAGGCCAGTCATGGAATATGCACCCACTACCTGGGCTACAGTAGCCAATACAACAATGAGAATTCTGGACAAAGTTCAGAATATGGCATTGAGCCTTGTTCTTAAAACCATAAAAACCGCCCCCTCAGAAAGATGTAGAGGACAGCAGATACTGAACCCCTTGAACTTAGAAGAGAATAAAATGCTCTTTTACAGTATGAGAAGCCAAAATAAGTCAACCGCCGCATTCTAAAATTCCATAAAGAACAAACTTTTAAAACTTAAGCATCAGAGCAATTTATTGTCTGTCACATTTCGTTTTATCTCGTCAGGTGCATACTACAGTAACAGGTACAACTCACGAAGTCGGGCCCAGACTCCCCTTGTCAATCATTCCTGGTCGTGTCGTAGAGCCAGTCCTATTTTGCGGGGGTGTCACGCTCAGTGAGCGTCCAGCAACACAACGAATTTTACGCGTTGTCACCAGCCTGCAATATTGTGTGTTCCTTATTCCATGGCGTGACCGCTTGTAACGTCCCAAAACATGTAGAACTGCCCTAACCTGAACTTCCCTACGCCTCGGCCTACGTCAAACGAGCGAGTGCGGCCTACGTCCCACGACTGCATGCAGCCTATGACAACAACGCGTAAATACGTTCCGTCACCCTCACGCTCACTAACCGTGATACCCCCTCAACATAGGACCGGCCCTACGACACAATCAGGAGTGAATGGCAAGGAAAGTCACTCTCTTTCTTAGCCTAACTTCGTAAGTTGTTCCCAGTAACAAATGAATATAATAAGATTTTTTCTAAAGGTATCCTTATAGCTAAAATGCAGAATCATCTACATTCAAAAGTGGCTGTATGTTTTACCAAGGCAAACGCGGGTTCACGATCTTGACTTTTTGTCTAAGCAATTCTGAACGTAAACGATTGTTTATTCAGATTTCATTTACAACAGGGAAACATCTCTTTGATACACGTACATATCTGTGAACTTGGAAACCGTACCAAGAGCCACAAACGTGTGTTGAACCCGTTAACCTTAACAGTTGCTGTGTGATTGTATGGTTTGTTGAACATGACGTATCGTTATTCTCTCATTTTTTTCAGCGTTCACAGTTCGATTCTGCACCAGACGATATATTGGGGACTATGACCCTGACCTAGGTAGGACAACTTCATACAATTATTGGCTTTGTTGTAATGTTTAGATTATTTCCCTTCTATGAGAATATGGAATATAAATGACGCTGTGGTGTCTGCACTCGTTGTTCAGGTGTTTTGATGTACACACATTTGTTAAGTTACCATACTTAGTACGTTCGCAACTGTAGTATATTTAACTGCTTTCCACCATGTGATAATTTTATTTGAGTCACGGGTTAACCTCAAACACTAGAGCCCTCCTTCTCAAAAACTACGGGCTTAGAACTTCTGTGCTTTGGAAATAGATAACTAATTTCAACAGTAATAATAAGTAACACTATTAAATCTACGCAGAGTCTTGTCCCAGCAATATAAACCATGGTTGTTGTTTTAATAATTTCTTGTTATTTGTCTGCATCATCAGTTCCCTTTATGCCTAGTGGCACATGAGGCTTCAGGGAGGACTTTCAATGCTTTCCTGTCCTGTGCAATCTTTAGTGCAGTTTTCCATGACAGAGTTGCTGCACTTTCCATCGCTCGTCTCCATATTGTTTTTGGGCGCTCCTTCTGTCTCTTTTCCTCTGGCGTCCATGTGAAAGCTGTTTTTGGAGGTATATCAGGATTCATTCTCATAACATGGCCAAACCATTTCAATCTTCTCTTGTCCAGAGTTTTTGTGTTTGAGATTGTATCTGGCCATACATTTTTGATGATTCTATGTAGACATGTGTGATGGAAGGTGGAAAGTTTGTGAGCATCCTTTTAAGTCATTCTCCAGCATTCCGCTCCATAAAGAAGAACTGGCAAAATAATGTTTTTGTAGAGTGGGAGTTTCGTTCCTCTGCATAACTGTTGGATTTCCAGATTTGCCTCATCCTTCAAACATCAGCTCTAGCTTTGTTCAGGTGTGACTGTATGTCTTCCTCTGTCTCTCCCAGCAGGGACAGCATACTGCCAAGACATGTGAACTGTTCTGCGTTTTTAAGTGTGTTTTTTTTTTTAAGGTTACTGGTTGTTCGTTTGGACTGTTTTGTCATGATCTTAGTTTTCCCTGCATTTATTCTTAGTCCACCATTTCGACTCTGCTGTATAGTCTGTTACTTCTCTCTTGTATATGTTCATGTTTATGTGATAGGATCTGCAAAATCAAGGTCCTCGAGCATGGTGAATGGAGTCGATCGTATGCCTCTCGATTTCTTGTCTACTGTGTTCTTTAGTATCCAATCAATCACAAGGTTGAAGAGGAGGGATGACATAACACACCCCTGTTTTACACCTGTCTTTACTGGGAAAGATGTTTTGTAATTTCTTTTACTGCAGGAAATGTCTTTATAGAATATACAAATTATGTTTACTATCTTTTCTGGGATACCATAACGTAATATTTTCCAGAGACTGTCTCTGTGGAAGCTGTCAAAAGCTTTCTAAAGGTCCTCAGAATTGATAAACATACACACACACACACATACACACACACACACACACACACACACACACACACACATCCACTTCTTTGCCATTCATTGCACTGTTTTAAGATGTTGCCTAGGGTGAAGATATGCTCATTTGTTCATCTGCCCTTTCTGAATACTGTTTGTTCTACTCGTGGGCATTTATCTACTCCCCTTTCGAGCCGCATTATGATGGTTTTACGAAAGACTTTGCTTGGTACTGAGAATAGAGTAATTGCCCTCTAATTATTGCGGTCTGTTCAATCTCCTTGGGAAGGGGGTGAGTGGGGTGACTATTGTTCCTTCCTGCCAGTCATCAAGCAACACTTCTTGTTTCCCAAATATCCGTGAACAGTGAATGGTTTAAGAATGCTAGCAGTTGTGTTTGGATCTACTTTGAGAGGTTCTGTAGACAGTCGTCTTTGCCTGGTGCTTTGTTGTTTTTAAAATGTGGATAGCTTTGCGGATTTCTTGTTTGCTTGGTGGTTTGATAATATTGGGAAGATTCTGAGAAGCTGGCAACAAATCAGGGGGATGTTCAGGATCAGGTCTATTCAAGAGTTTAAAGAAGTGTTCAGTCCACTGCAATTTTCTTCATACCTAGAGACATTTGGAGACATAGTTAACATAGACATAATTACCAGTAAACATGCATAACGGTGTAAACATGCATACCTACATGTATATAATATATATATATATATATATATATATATATATATATATATATATATATATATATATATAGATATATAGAGAGAGAGAGAGAGAGGGAGGTAGAGCGGGGAGAGAGCGTCGCAGAGATAAGGAGAGAGAGAGAGAGAGAGAGAGAGAGAGAGAGAGAGAGAGAGAAGCATGCATCCATGTGTCTGTAATGTGTACACACACTAACCAAAACCTCTTTCCGATCTATCAGAACGGATTTACACCTGTCAAAGAGTGATACAGGGTACACCTGTCGACTTCGAAGTCTGGGACACAGCAGGTGTGGTAAGTATCACTTGTCAAACTAACAGCCCTCAATGCAACATTATTATTATCTCAGTTAGGCAAAAAAAACATTATGACAAAATCCAGTGTTCACTGACTAACATGAGAGTTTGCAACATCACACGTTTCTTTGTATTTTTTTTTTTTTTTCACATAATTTTGTATTTGATTATTTATTGTTGTCTGTAGTAAAGGGTCGTTGACATTATGGAAAAAGTGGTGGGGTCGGGGGGATGTTGGGTCAGTTCCAAGTGCAGAAATGAGGAATGGCTGCCCATTTGGTCAAAAATAGCACCTAAACATCATTATAGTTAATCAGCGTATCATATTTTTTTATGACGATGCGTTTGGACACTTTCAGAACACAAAAAAACAAAACAGAACAGAACAAAACAAAACCTTACAGGTGACCCGGTGGTACAGTGACTAGCACACTTACAGGTGACCATGGTGGTACAATGACTAGCACACTTACAGGTGACCATGGTGGTACAGTGACTAGCACACTTACAGGTGACCATGGTGGTACAATGACTAGCACACTTACAGGTGACCAGGGTGGTACAGTGACTAGCACACTTACAGGTGACCAGGGTGGTACAGTGACTAGCACACTTACAGGTGACCCGGTGGTACAGTGACTAGCTCACTTACAGGTGACCAGGGTGGTACAGTGACTAGCACACATGCTGGTGACCAGGGTGGTACAGTGACTAGCTCACTTACAGGTGACCAGGGTGGTACAGTGACTAGCACACTTACAGGTGACCAGGGTGGTACAGTGACTAGCTCACTTACAGGTGACCAGGGTGGTACAGTGACTAGCACACTTACAGGTGACCAGGGTGGTACAGTGACTAGGACAATTGCAGGTGACCAGGTGGTACAGTGACTAGCTCACTTACAGGTGACCAGGGTGGTACAGTGACTAGCACACTTAAAGGTGACCAGGGTGGTACAGTGAATAGCACACTTACAGGTGACCAGGGTGGTACAGTGACTAGCACACTTACAGGTGACCAGGGTGGTACAGTGATTAGCACACTTACAGGTGGCCTGGTGGTACAGTGACTAGCACACTAACAGGTGACCAGGGTGGTACAGTGACTAGCACACTTACAGGTGACCAGGGTGGCACAAAGACTAGCACACTTACAGGTGACCCGGTGGTACAGTGACTAGCACTCTTACAGGTGACCAGTGTGGTACAGTGACTAGCTCACTTACAGGCGACCAGGGTGGTACAGTGGCTAACTCACTTACAGGTGACCAGGGTGGCACAGTGACTAGCACACTTACAGGTGACCAGGGTGGCACAGTGGCTAGCACTCTTACAGGTGACCAACGCGGTACAGTGACTAGCTCACTTGAGGGTGACCAGGGTGGCACAGTGACTTGCTCACTTACAGGTGACCAGGGTGGTACAGTGACTAGCACACTTACAGGTGACCAGGGTGGTACAGTGACTAGCTCACTTACAGGTGACCAGAGTGGTACAGTGACTAGCACAATTGCAGGTGACCAGGTGGTACAGTGACTAGCACACTTGCTGGTGACCAGGGTGGTACAGTGACTAGCACACTTGCTGATGACCAGGATGGTACAGTGACTAGCATACTCGCTGGTGACCAGGTTGGTACAATGACTAGCGGACTTTCATGTTTCCGTGTAGTACAGTGACTAGAGCACTTGGCGGTTTCCGGGGGTGGTGCAGTGACTAGCGCACTTGCGGGTGCACGATAGTGGTATATTAGAACTAAATGAGGTGGGGTGGCGTAGGGAGGTCGAGAAAGTTTTGACAGTTTGTTAAACCACATCACCGCCGCTTCCAAATAATTTGTAACGAATCTGCCAACTGTCCACGTTTCATGTCCGTATTTAAAAATAGCTTTCAATAATTCTATTTCACGTCTCAGTTGACAATGAAAGATTGCATAAAATATTGTTAATATTGTAAAATGCTGCCTTTGCTTGAGCTTTTCAACGTTTAATTTCCTTAATACATCTTACATCTGATGTTATCAGGTATCCCAGTACTTTATCATATCAAATTTCTTGAGGTTTGTCTGATTTAGTTTGATGCTGCATTTCGAAGGGTCCATTTTCTTTTCCCGCCTTTTTGCTGTGTAAGCAGTAAAATTCTGTAAATATTGTGTCTACTTACACTATTATTTATTTATTTTCCTTTCCCTAGTTCACTGTAAAATTGTGTAAATATCGTGTTTACTTTAACCATTAGTTACTTATATTCCATTCCCTTATTAGCAGTAAAATTGTGTATATATCCTGTCTATTTACAGAACGAAAACAGCAGACTCAAGGAACAGATACGTTGGGCTGATGCCATCATTCTAGTCTATGGACGTCCACTGACAGGTGCAGCTTCAACGAATATTACCCGTCTGAATTAGTTTCCTCATCAAACTCCTTCTCTAGAAAAAGTCGTTGGAAGATCCTCAGTGATACCAGTTCGGACGTCAT